AATTATTTCATCATATTTCAATATCTTTCAATATCTCACCATTATTTCAATATCTTTCAATTATTTCATCATTATTTCAATATCTTTCAAGTATTTCATCATTATTTCAATCTTTCAATTATCTCAGCATTATTTCAATATCTTTCAATTATTTCATCATTATTTCAATATCTTTCAATTATTTCATCATTATTTCAATATCTTTCAATTATCTCACCATTATTTCAATATCTTTCAATTATTTCATCATTATTTCAATATCTTTCAATTATTTCATCATTATTTTAATATCTTTCAATTATCTCAGCATTATTTCAATATCTTTCAATTATTTCATCATTATTTCAATATCTTTCAAGTATTTCATCATTATTTCAATCTTTCAATTATATCAGCATTATTTCAATATCTTTCAATTATTTCATCATTATTTCAATATCTTTCAATTATTTCATCATAACTTCAATATCTTTCAATTATCTCACCATTATTTCAATATCTTTCAATTATTTCATCATTATTTCAATATCTTTCAATTATTTCATCATTATTGTAATATCTTTCAATTATCTCACCATTATTTTAATATCTTTCAATTATTTCACCATTATTTCAATATCTTTCAATTATTTCACCATTATTTCAATATCTTTCAATTATTTCATCATCATTTCAATATCTTTCAATTATTTCACCATTATTTCAATATCTTTCAATTATTTCACCATTATTTCAATATCTTTCAATTATTTCACCATTATTTCAATATCTTTCAATTAGTTCGCCATTATTTCAATATCTTTCAATTATTTCACCATTATTTCAATATCTTTCAATTAGTTCACCATTATTTCAATATCTTTCAATTATGTCATCATTATTTCAATATCTTTCAATTATTTCAAGGGTTTCAACTGCACGGGCAGCTGCATTCACAGCATCACAACATGCTTCCATCACTCCCACTATTTCAATCTCGTCTACACATATGCAGATATATTATGTCGGAACGGTTTTAATTAATGCATATTTCAGAGATACGTGCAAACCCATATTAAACATTTTCATTGGTAACATTTCTGATCGTGTTCTCGGAATTTCCAATTACTACAGTGTTTGTTAATTGTTTACCATGGTGTAGTTGAATATCGCGCATTTATAAGTGTTTAATGTGTACTCAAATGGATTTACAGTTGGGAATTAATTTCTTGAAATGTACTCGGAGGGGACGATAAACTGTCGGTCCCGTGTGCTCCCTGCGCACGTAAAAACACAGCATATTCTTGTAGGAATAGCGGATTACCGCGGGATGACTATATATAATAGTCTTAGACTATTTTCACAGACTTATAGACTTTCACAGACCTTAGAAAGCTGTTTTCTAAGGTCTATGATATAATCAGAATTAGACATGTTGTGTGAGAGCATGGAAGATACTAACTTATTATATTGGAAATTGCAAAAATATGGTATCACAAGAAATATTTACAACCCCATAAAAAATATGTATAGTGGGGTATCATACAGGGTAAAAATAAATAAAGGGCTCACAAATGAATTTGATTCATTTATGGGGGCAAAACAAGGCTGTAATATATAAGTCCAACTGTATTTAGTTTATTCATTTATGACTTGCCGGAACAAATAAAATCTACAAATGCCACCCCCCCCCCTGAACTAAACAGCCAAAAACTAAACTGCATTTTATTTGCTGATGACGTCCTAATCTTATCACAGACCCAGGAAGGTATGCAGTGCAGCATAGATGCACTGGCAAAATACAGCAATTCTTGGAAACTATCATTAAGCCTAAATAAAACTAAATTAATGGTATTCAATAAAAGAAATCATACATTAAATAGCAAGTCAGTGTTGTATGAAGGAAATGAAATTGCCACGGTTGGGTATAGTTTTCACACCGAATGGAAAATTAAAAACTGAGTCCAATACTTTAAACGAAAAAGCTATGAAAGCAATGTTTCCACTAAAGCAGTCTTTATTAACATTATCACATTATAAAATTAGCACAGCATTGAATTTATTTGATAAATTAATTGTACCAATTATTAATTATGGGTGGGAGGTATGGGAAGAAGAATCAGTAAAACATATAGAAAGTGTACAGTTTGCTTTCTGTAGATTTATTTTAGGTGTCAGTAAAAATGCAACAAAAAATGCTATTCTTGGAGAGCTGGGTAGATATCCATTGAACGTCAAAATTAAAAAACAGATGATAAAATATTGGTTATGGAAATAAAAACTTGGAAAACAGCATGGGTAGAAAGAATAGAAGAGATAACTAAAAACAACAATCTTTCAGAATTATCAAAACAACATGAAAAAAAGGTAGGGGAGGTACTCAGAGAAAATTATGTAAAAACATGGAGAAAGGAATTATTTAATGACAGCAGTGTCATGAATTTGTTTTTGCGTATCTGTTAACCGACTTAATTAGTTGATTATTAGCTGAATTGCTGTGTTATGTCTGTCATCGTGTAGGCCTATTTGAAGTTTTGGACGGAACTTGGCTCAGTGATTTGGAACTAATTACCAGATATCCGTCGCGATTCTGACAGTTGGTATTCCATAGTTATTAATGTAGTGAACGATTAATCAAAAGATATGACGTATTCAGTACTTAGTGTGATTGGCTTTATGATTGAGGGTTACGCCCTAGAGTCTTTTTACTGCTTTGTAATTGGTTAGAGTTTTGAAAATGAATAAAGAGAGTTTGAGTTGGTCTTGGCGAATACTCCACGACAGACGCAGTAGAGAGAGAGTGCAGTCCTGGGCAGTAGAGAGAGAGAGCAGTCCTGGGCAGTCGAGAGTCCAGTCCAGGGGCGAGCCTTGAGGCAGTCCAGTCTTGGGCGAGTCTTGGTTCAGCCTTGTGAGAGTCTTGGGGACTTTTCCCCAGGGCGCTGTGTCTTATAGAGTGCTCCAAAAGATCGACTAAGACGAGAGCTGAAACGTATTTCATTGTGTGTGTCTTATTTGACTGTAAAGTTAAAGTGACTTTCCCGATCCCGTACCTCAAGGGGACGAGATAGAGAGACGAGACGAGTTTTCCCCCTGACAAGTGTGGAGAAACCCCGGAAAGAGATTTTCCCCCTGATAGCAGAATGAATGCAGCAACAAACAAACAAACTTCATACAGAAAATTTAAAACTACCTTCAATATGGAGAATTATTTAAATGATAAAAAAAATTAAAATTAAGGCGATTATTTTGCAAATTTAGAATTTCTGACTATAAACTACTCATTGACACTGGCAGACAAAAGAAAATTCCTAGAAACGAAAGAGTATGTAAACTCTGCACAGATGATAAAATTGAAGACGAGTACCATTTCTTAATAGGATGCAGTAAATATGACGTACCCCGTAATAAATTATTTAAATATATACAGAACAAAAAATCTGACTTCTTGAAAATGAATGAAGAGGAAAATTAATTAATTATGACAAGCTTTGAAGGAATAAAAATTGCACAATTCATACATACAATTATGAACTTAAGAGATGAAACATAGCAACTCCATAAAATTAGTCTGCAGGTAGTTTTAATGCAATGGCATATTTAGTAGCTTAGTGGTTTTATTGTTATACTAATTTTCATGTTTTTTCTTTCCATTCTTAGTTACATTTATTCAATGTTTTATTCATGATTTTGGTGTTACAGTAATGAACTGTACTTCAGTTTTGCTTTGTTCTAAACAGTAGCATTAGCTTGTGATTTTATATGCTATTTGTGATATTAGTTGCGTGAAGTTTTATTTCTGTTTTTGGTTTACAACCATAAAATTACTCTCTGTAGTTGATTTTCGTGTTGAATAAAATTATTATTATAACGGATGGTGAGAGTATTGTCTGTCAATTGCCCCGTAACCTGTATATGTGTATAATGACGCGTACGAGTGGGTTAAAATGGCAATGGTCGTCGTAAAGTGGCAAATAAATAAATCTATGGCATTTATTTTGTCGTCATTGTTAATTCTACGTGTGCTAAAATTCTTGGAATTTAAGGTAGCGGGACTATTATTTGCATACTTGTTTTCATCTTCTAATTGTGACCAAATGACTACAAACAGACCCAGGAAAATATATATTTTTAGCATCGTCAATCAAGCTTTTCAAAAGTGTGTTTGCCATGCCCGTATCTGCATTCTACGATGCGATACTTAATCAAAAGTGAAAAATTACTTTTTTTGTAAAAAAAAATAATTACTTATTTATGCTGGTGATAAGAAGTTTTTTTTTCACTTTTCCTAGTTGTTCAATAGACTGGTAAATTGAATGTGTCTGGTCAGTTTTATTCAAGCAACGCGTTTTGAAAAGTAGTGTCCTGAATTTCAATTTCTGTTTTAGTCGTATTGCCCCCAACTCAAACCACAACACATTGGTAAATAATCCATGAAATAGTTTGTCTGGACACATTCAAGTTCCTCTCATTGTAACCTTAGAGCTGTAAAAATTTGGTGTTAATCCGACGACACTAAGTATACGTTATTTTTTGTTAAAGACCTTGTATTTTGAAAAACATAAACTCCTAGAAATCGTTGATGAAAACACCAAAATCAATTATTTTTTCATTGGCTGTGTGACCTTGTGTCTGACACATTCATATGCAAATGACTAATCTGTGAAACAAACAGGGGCGGAGACAAACCACTCAAATGTTTGGAAACACTCATTGTGTGTCAGATAGCTAACTGATAACACATCCTAACATTGCTTTGTCTTGAGTTTATCTTTGAAACTCATAGGCACACAGATTAAACCTGTGTTGTTGATTTTGGAAAACACTACTGAGGCTGCCTTGCTTCCCTTCAGAAAATCTACATTTTAACCAACTTACATGACATTCTATGTTATGTTGACTTTATCGCATGAAAGTTTATAGTGCATTTCATCAATTAATAAATGTAATTTTCAACACAAATAATAGTCTCGCTACCTTAAATCAGGGATTTAAATATCAACGTGTGGTTTTTAAAGTTTGGGTGGGGTTTTCTTTAAACAGAGGAACGAAGAATATATATGTTATGATTAAACAGTATGAATATTCTGTCTTCGTTCTTCAGTTTAAACACATCAATGAAAAAAGCGCCCCTATTCAATTTTAAAATAGTTTCCCCCCCCCCGTCGAATAAAATGACCAGTTCCTGAGTCAGAAAATGATTAGATAACTTCGCCCCTCGTTTTATGGCGCGGCCCGGGAGCGCAGCCCAAATGATTGACGCATAATCTACCAAACGAGTTAATTATCTAATGTATGTTGGCGTGATGGTGTTGTCTGCAAACAGTTTGTACAGTGGAAGTGGAACGCACTTCCTGTGTGTTTTCTCTATATGCCGGAAGAGCAGTTCACAGAACTGCGTCGGAAATGTGATAGGACGCACGTCCTTGCGTTGTAAGCAAATACGACCCGATACCAAAAATCGAAAAGATGATATCCTGTTTGTGTAACTATGTTACTATGTCGTCTGCAAACAGTTCGTACCAAAAGTAGAACAAAGCGCTCTCTGTAGAGCAGTTCGGAGAACCATGTAGGAAATGTGATAGTCAAGCACGCATCTAACACTGTAAACTAATACTACCCGGCCCTAGGAATCTGTGTTTCTTGGTAATGTTTGCATTTCTTACTCTTAATCTTTCGTACAGATGTCAAGTCGTTATTTGACCTTTATCGTACAGATCACGTCGACGTCACTAGAAGTAAAGCTGCTACATCAACAATAGCCAGCACGTTTCGTAAGCGAAATAACATTTGTTTATGTCCGGTTCTATACAGGACCACATTTGCTGATTTGTGAAGTTTAACAGAGGTAAGAACGAATGTGTAGTGTTGAATACTTTTAGCTCCAAAATAGCATGAAGATTGTAGAACATGGTTTGCAGTTCAATGTTTGTGCGTATTGCATATGAGAAAATTTATTTTTCATTTGATTTAATTTTCGCGGATTTATCTTTTTCAAAATTGCCTGTCAGAAATACTTATTTTTGTTCATATTTGCTGATAACTTGAAATACAATAATAAGTTTATTCAGATTAGGTACAAAGGCAGTATATTATTCCATGAAGATGCAAGTTGAATTTTGTTGAGATTCTATGCAATATAGCAGCAATTTTTTTTTTTGCAGAAATTCACACTCTATTCACAGATGGTAGTGTTCGCACATCAATGAAAGTTGATTTTGGTAGACATTTTGTTGGACAAAAATCCATTTTTCACACATTTTGGCTTCTATCTATTTACACATTACATTTAGGTCCACACTTGTTTCACAGATAATTGTGTTCTACAACATCAACAAAAGTTGATTTCTATTACAATCCAATTCAAGATGGTCGCCTGGTAGCCATTTCGTTTATGTTTTGAACTTGCACAGTTCAATATGGTCGATCTTCTGACACATCAACAAAAAATTAGTTGTGTTACAACTAATTCAAGATGGTCAGCTATAAGCCATTTTGTTTGACCAAAATATAAATTTTGATATGTTTGTACAATTCTGCTTATATCTTAAATTCTTCCTGCCTTTTTAGATTTAAATTTACTGCACAGACAGTTGTATAGTAGCCTACATTGTATCAATGATATTTGGTCTGTGTCACAATCCACTGATGCTCTTGCTGATTTGTTTTAAAGCAAGGGAGTCATCACCTGCGCATGTGTCAGACAGCCATAGCGTGTCATTGTTTACAAACAAGCATATACCCATGAGCCTTTGTGTATTGTTATTGTCGTTTGAGACTCAATTCGCAGGTGACGACCTCTTCACTTTAAACTTGGTACATGTATGATGGTTTCAGAAATTGATGGTGTAATGGTGACCTTGAATTAACAAATTTAGTCTGAAAGAGACTGTTTTCAAAGGCAGCATATGAATGTAGTTAATTATTCTTCAATCTGATAAAAATCTAATATTGTATGGTGTGAATTTTATTGAATTTTATATATTTTATTTTAACTATGTATTTTTATTATTTAGTAATTATTTTATATTATGTATATCTTATTTTTATTCTTAGAACAAGTTGTTTGTCATTGCTGTTCATTGTTAGATAGATCTTAAAAATCATTTCTGAAAGTTTCATTATTTTAACCTTTTACAAGACGTTGCTGTTTTTAGTCTGCATCATTTCGAAAATTTTTCATTTTCAAATCCAAACTGTTCTAAATTGTGAAACATACTATTTACACTGTTAATATTGCTCATTAATATTCATAAGCACTCTGATTGGGCTGGCAAGATCCCTGACGAATAATTTTAGTGATTAACACATTGCCTTCTGACTACTATGTTTGTGGAGCAAGACTGCGTTTGTAATAATTCCTTAAGGCCACTGAGATATGTTATAAAGAACAAGTTTAATAACAGCAAGTAAAGCCAAAAAATAGTCATAAATAAACAAACATAAAAATAATAAAATATAAAAATAAAAAATAAAAATTGAGCCTATACTTATATTGCATTTCAATCAGATTGCATGTACCAATTTTATATATTTTGCACCTGGATATGAGTAAACTGAAATGAACCAATTTTGTATTTTGCACCTGGATATTAGTGAACTGAAATGTACCAATTTTATATACTCCTCACCTGGATACAAGTGAACTGAAATGTACCAATTTTATATACTAGGCACCTGGATACAAGTGCACTGAAATGTACCATTTTTGATACTTGGCACCTGGATACAAGTGAACTGAAATGTACCAATTTTATATGCTGGGCACCTGGATACAAGTGCACTGAAATGTACCATTTTTGATACTTGGCACCTGGATACAAGTGAACTGAAATGTACCAATTTTATATACTCAGCACCTGGATACAAGTGAACTGAAATGTACCAATTTTATATACTCCCACATGAGTGAACTGAAATGTACCAATTTTATATGCTGGGCACCTGGATACAAGTGAACTGAAATGTACCATTTTTGATACTTGGCACCTGGATACAAGTGAACTGAAATGTATCAATTTTATATACTCGGCACCTGGATATAAGTGAACTGAAATGTACCAATTTTATATACTTAGCACCTTGTTATGAGTGAACTGAAATGTACCAATTTTATATGCTGGGCACCTGGATACAAGTGAACTGAAATGTACCATTTTTGATACTTGGAACCTGGATACAAGTGAACTGAAATGTATCAATTTTATATACTCATTTCACCTGGATATAAGTGAACTGAAATGTACCAATTTTATATACTTAGCACCTTGTTATGAGTGAACTGAAATGTACCAATTTTATATACTAGGCACCTGGTTATGAGTGAACTGAAATGTACTAATTTTTTATACTCCGCACCTAGATACAAGTGAACTGAAATGTACCAATTTTATATACTAGGCACCTGGTTATGAGTGAACTGAAATGTACTAATTTTATATACTCGGCACCTAGATACAAGTGAACTGAAATGTACCAATTTTATATACTCTGCACCTGAATACAAGTGACCTGAAATGTACTAATTTTATATACTCGGCACCTGGATACAAGTGAACTGAAATGTACTAATTTTATATACTGGGCACCTAGATACAAGTGAACTGAAATGTACCAATTTTATTTACTTGCACCTGGGTATTCCTCTTATACCGGGGTAGCTTGCCACATTTTTGCTGTGGTTTCATGGTTTTATCCTTATGTAGTGGATCTAATGTCAAAGATTGGTTAAAACTGGTAGTGAGTGCATCGCAAATTAATTGGTTTCAAGATAAATTGTCTGCAATAAAAATTTATTAGTCATAGTATTTTAGTTAAGTCTCCATGCATGCATCCAAGGCTGTATCTAGGACACCTCTAAATAATTCTCTTCAAATCTTACACATACATGTACATAATATTTTAACTGGTATATATGAATGTGATTGTTTCTTAATTCAGTTAAAGATGACCAACTGGCGTTAATTTTTATTGTAAAAATATCTAAAATCACATATTTTAACATGTTCGGAACTAGATCTTGGGAATGTATGCTGCCAGTATTTGATCCGTTGAGCAACTGTGATGTATATTCTCATCGATAGCGAATTTGGTCCCCCTCAAAGTACCAGGATGTGTGACCTTAAGGGGTTTTACTTACTGGACGTACTGTATATAACCTTTGTTTATCAATACATGTATGTATTTTATCATTACAGACATACTGCCTGGCATAGAATGCATCGGTTATTATTAATTCTAGTATTATGTAGTATTGTGTACTATACTGAGTCAACCAAAGGTAATTATGCCAACTTTCATTTTATGTATATAGGACAGTATCCACATGTGCAATATCTGGTTATTGCACTGTACAATAATGCACAAAGATCCACTGGCTTAGAATGTTAATTGTAACATTTGATATTGTAACCTTTGTTTATATGGGTTAGTCTCCATGGATACTTGCATGTATGCTTCTATACACCTTAAGCGACTTTCTTTAAACCTTAATGTTTTTCTCCACGAAAACATCTTCTGCCAGGGCAAGTCTGTTATTCACTAATCAAAATTCTACTGACGCATGAACAGTGTTGAAGTGCATTAGCAGACAATCTGTTAGCTCTGATTTTGACGAAAAACACTTGAGTGTAGACAAAGTTTTTAAAACTTTTCATGGCATCAATATGTCGCATCAAATCATGTTCACCCCAATCAAAAAAAAAATTTAATCCTATTTCTTTCTTTATTTAATTACCTTGATCTTACTTGATAATATTTTAATAATCAGCATTGATTTATTAGTCCCTGTTCGGATGCAGTCCGAAAACAGGGACTTATGTTTTGACCTCCGTGTGTGCGTGTGTGTGACTGTGTGTGTCTTAGAAATGCCTGGACCAATCACAATCAAACTTCACACATACATCATACATGATATTATACATATGCACATCAATTTGTTTTACGATCTGATTCAAGCTGGCCGAATGGTGGCCATTTTTGTGCTACAAAATCATAAAAATCAAGCATTTCTCAGCTGTTTACAGATGGATTTTGTTCAAACTTGATATATACATTAGACATTATGGGACCTTGATGCAAATAGTTTTGTTTTTCAGATAAGATCAAAATGGCCGACTGGTGGCCATTTTGTTTTAATGAATGTGGTTCTAGTGCCATATCTCTGACTTGCTTTGACTGATTATGTTCACATTTTAAATATTCATTACAGATCATGTTATAGATATACGGTTATATTGGTTTGATGATCCTTTTCAAAGTGACCAAATGGTGGCTAATTTTGTGCTAAAAAAATCCTCAAATATCAAGCATTTCTTGCATTTATGGATGGATTTTGTTCAAACTTATAACATACATTAGACATTACAGGTTCCTAATGCACGTCATTTTATTTTTCAGATTGGACTCAAAATGGCTGTCTGGCGGCCATTTTGTTTTAATGATTGGGCTTCTAGAGCCATATCTCTTAAATGCTTTGACTGATTATATTCAAATTTTATATATTCATTATACATCATGTTATATATATATACATGTATTCAAAATGGCTGATTTTGAATGCTGTTCCAGAGAAATATCTCTCAATATGGACAAGTACTTGTTTGATGATCAGATACAAATGTCAATCATTTTAATGTTAAAAAAAATCATATTCCTGACATGGTTATATTCCAGCTATACTACTATAAACAAAACTATATATCTTAAATTTGATAACTAACTGGGACTGTGCCATGCATGGCTTGTTTTCGATTGTTGACCTTTGACTGACTGGTGGCCATTTTTGTTCCAAACAACAGCGAAAATCAACATTTCGACATGTCATCAACCGTTTCTCGGACATGCCTTGACAGATTTCATTAAAACTTGCCATTGACATCAGTCATAGTGGGTAAAATTACTGATGCACTACTACTGATTCAATTCAAAATAGTCAACTGGTGGCCATTTTGTTTTTTTATCAGTGTTCTGTCCATTTTACAGAGATGATTTTACAGATTGAGTTTAAATTTGGTACAAAGGCAAGATACAAATGTATACATATGTGATGTGTTAAATGTTGTACATCACAAGTCATAATACATGAGAATATCGCTTTGTTTTATTTTGTTCAACATTTGGACAGTTTCTGAGGCATTTTAACTAGGACAGCAAGTTCAGTTCATTGCAACAGGATAAAAGTATTGTTTCACACATTTCTTGATTTATTTGTTTCCAAGAACTGAACATATGGTGGCAATGTAATAGTATACGCTTATTTTTACTGGCATAGAATGCCACCTATCACACTTACAACATTAATCTTGCAATTAGAGAATTGAATACATCTGGCATTTATCAGGATTGTACTTTAATTGATGGTTATTATTTTAAACACAGTCTCCTGCAGTGAAATTGATTGCACTTTGATGAAAATATATTACAATGGTGCTGAAAACAAATGGCAGACTGGGTAGAACTAATTGGCAATATTCCAAGTTATCCCTAGATAGGGTCAGAAGAGAATATACAGACCATCTTTAATCATAGTTATTGACCTAGGGCTTTGGTATTCTCAGAGTATACAATCTCAAGGTCAAAAATTGTGAAGAAAATACTGAAGGGCATGGAGGCAATTACCTTCTTGGCTTCCATGTGGACTCTCATCAGATTTATTCTCAGTTTTGACTCATAATATTGCGTTGAAAGTTTATCTTGGGAACTGGTGATTATGCAGATTAGATGCATCTCAAATTTAATTTCAATAACAAAAATCTAATTATTATGTAAATAAATCTCAACTGCTAACCATGCTTTAACAGAGCTGTAAACAACAGAATACCCCAACTCACCACTAGGTGGCAGTAATCATGAGAAGGAAATCTTTTGCACTGTAGGTATTACCAGACACTAGTGTTTTTGGTTTCATGCAACAATTGCACAATTTTCTTTAACTTGACACTGAAAAATTGTCACAACCATTCTTAATCATTTTTTTTTTCTGTAGAATGCAGAAAGCTAAGACAACCATCACGTGGAAATATATACTATCTGACAGCAGATGGAGCAGATAAGCTCACCTATCCTGTTGGTTATACACTAAGATTTGTATGTGATGATGGTTTTACATTGACTGGAACTACATTTCGTAGTTGTTCATCAAATGGAAGGTGGTCAGGACAACATGTCACGTGTCGAGGTAAGATACTTTTACGAACAAAAAAATAGCAAAATTTTGATTACCATGCCTAATAAGAAAGGAATTTCTCTTTTATCTTTTTAAAAATTGTTTATATGTCTCATGTGAGGATTCATAACACATCAAATGGTTTTTCGATATCGGTATCTGCTATAAAGATAAAGATACTTCAGTAATGCATTGTTTTTTTCAAATATTGAAGCATAGAATTTTTATAAAATCCAGGCCCAAAATGCACTTTCAATTATATTCAATACAAATATCAATTCTGAAAGTGATGTAATATGGATATAGGCTAAAAATAAAATAATAATAATAATAATACCAAATTAGTATATGTGTTTTCGTGCATCCCAAATTAATATCTCAGAAATTTAAACTTCACACATATACATCATACATTTGGGATACATATATGCATGCATGTCCATTTGTTTCACAATCAGTATGGCTGAGTGGCTGCCACTTTAGTTACAAGAACCACTCACATTTTTGTTGTGGTCGAACAAAAATAGCCAACTTGTGGCCTTTTTTTATGGAAATCATATATAGTCAAGTTTCTCTGGAATACAATGACAGTGATTTTGATCAATGTGGGTAACAGATGATAATGCTCTAAAATTGGTTGTAATGTATATTGAGATTGACTATATGTAATACTAAATATAGACTGTTCATTCCACAAGTAATTTGTTTATATATGTTTTCTCAGTACATGTGAGCCAGTATGTAAATTTTACTTTGATATTTCTTGCAGCTCCTCCATGTAGAAGACCGGAAGCACCAGAAAATGGGGGCATCATAGAAGACAGATATGTATTTCATCATGGTGATGTAGTGAGTTTCTTTTGTAATGCTGGATATCAATTGAATGGAATAAGTAGGACAACATGTGAATTAGGTTCTGTTTGGAATGATCATGTTCCTACATGTCAACGTAAGTCTTTGTTTTAAGTTGAATTGGTTATTTAAGATACACTGACCCCTCACTAAGTTGCAAGTGTTGGGATCAAAGCAACTTATCAGGGGTCATGCTATACCAAGGGATCTCATGAAAGAAAAGAATTTTTGGAGTTATCCAACTACCCACGACTTAGCCAAAATCGCGACTTACTGATGCGCGTCTTAGCGAGGGTCGCTGAGTCAGAGACCATCAGCTAGTTTTTCAGTGCCATTGTACATCCATTGAGTCAGATTATCAGCTAGTTTTTCAGTGCCATTGTACATCCATTGAGTCAGATTATCAGCTAGTTGTTCAATGCCATTGTACATCCATTGAGTCAGATTATCAGCTAGTTGTTCAATGCCATTGTACATCCATTGAGTCAGATTGTCAGCTAGTTTTTCAGTATTCTTCACTGAATGAAAATAGTGTTCAAATATATGTAATAAATGAGTGACTGAATGAAAAATTTAAAATAATTTAAAATTTAAGTAAATGAATAGTAGAATTTTGACTGCAACAATATTTTCGAATTTTTTTTGATTTTTCAGCAAATGTATTTTGTAGTGATCCTGGTTACATTTCCAATGGTACTCGTACTGAAGAGAATATTTATTCTGATGTAGAAGATCCAATTGGATCACCTCTATATATTTATGAAAGCACTGTGACATATTCTTGTAATGCAAGATATCGTATGGTAGGAGCATCTAGTATATCATGTTTATTAAATGCTACTTGGTCTGCTGATGTACCTTATTGTGAAGGTATGTATATCTGTTACTCTTTTCACCACCAGTTTTCTCTCTCTTCATCCAAAATAGTCCCATTTATAGTCTCACTTTCATTCAGAAGATTGGTACAAAAATAACAAATTTGTTTGAGCAAAAACTAAAAATTTACTCAAAATTTGC